CACCTGGGGAGGAGGTGAGAGTGTGTCTTCCCACCTGGGGAGGAGGTGAGAGTGTGTCTTCCCACCTGGGGAGGAGGTGAGAGTGTGTCTTCCCACCTGGGGAGGTGGTGAGAGACTAAACACGGGGAGAGGCCACAGATCGACGCCTGGTGGGGCTGGGTGAACAAAGGGCTTATATGTGTATGTTATTCCCTGTAATTTGACTTACCTCGTGTTCTCTGTACAATTTGTATATTCCTGATAATGTCACGTTGTTGATGAAACGTGATCAAGGAGAAATACTGAGTGATCTAGTTCACCCTCTATATAGTAAAGGGTATTTACGTAAAATTTTATATATATATATATATATATATATATATATATATATATATATATATATATATATATATATATATATATATTATAATATACACACAATATTGGTGTATACTGCAGAAGGTTTTCATTTAGACAAGTTTCATTTAATATGAGTGCATAATCCGTGTAGATTATTTTCTTCCTTAGGGCTTCTATCCCTGTGACTAGTGCTCTTGCATCTTGGTTAATTGGAAGAGAGTTTCTCCAAATGTCATAGTTGTTCAAGATTGAATAAAATAATGACAAATTAAGTATATAATGTATTATACTTATTACAATTTACACAGCGTTTCGAACCAACATGGTTCATTCTCAAGTGAGGAGACATTCCCATCTGTCTACAGTTGATAAGTTTCTTATAGATATGTATTTTATGTAAATACCTGTCACCATGAAGGTAATTTGATGAGAAAAGACTTTAGTGTGAGCGCTTTGAAGCATAACTGTGGCCGTCGTCAGACACACAGCGAGAACGGAAAGAATTGTGAAAAGTGAAGAAGAATTACGGGAAGATTTACGATATAATTAGCATGTGTCGTGGTCATTGTTGGCGTCGTCTCTGACCAGGAGCACAACTGTGCCTGAAACACCTCACACTTGGTCTTTTCCCGCCAAACACACACACCGAAACTACAACGTTGCTACAACGTTCGAACAAGTTTTCCACCTCCTAACCAGTTATAACAACCAATATAGCAAGTTATAACAACGTTCTAATACGTCATAAAAACGTTAAGTCAAGCTGTAACAACTTTACTACAAGTTGTAACAAGCGGAAAATAGAGAGAGTTACGGTTTGTGTTTCCAGAATTCTGCTCAAATGTGACATTTTTTGAGGCGAGTTTTGTGATAATGTCGCTCATATAATGTATACTATTGTGTAGCAGTTTATCTTGTAGACATATGTTATTAAATATGGCAGAGGGTAGAGACCAAATTAGCGTGAGAGTATCCAGAGCCCAGGTTCGAATCCTCCTCCCGGCTGCTACTGATGTTGTCATTGATGCACCACGTTGATGTGATGTCTTCCTGCAGGTGAGAGAGAGGCTTGAGTCAGTGATGCCAACTTGAAGCGTCTATATTTCTTATGTTCTTCTTTTCCTGAAAAGGAAGTTACATTACAACTCTCCATAGTTCATGCTATAGTGTTGTTATGGTCTGATGCTTAGAGATGTTGATCTTGTCAACAGTGTTAAATGCAAAGTTTAAGGGGACATGCATTACGTTATCTTGAGGTTATCTTGAGATGATTTCGGGGCTTTAGTGTCCCCGCGGCCCGGTCCTCGACCAGGCCTCCACCCCCAGGAAGCAGCCCGTGACAGCTGACTAACTCCCAGGTACCTATTTTACTGCTAGGTAACAGGGGCATTCAGGGTGAAAGAAACTTTGCCAATTTGTTTCTGCCTCGTGCGGGAATCGAACCCGCGCCACAGAATTACGAATCCTGCACGCTATCCACCAGGCTACGAGGCCCCTTTCATCCTACGTTGATGAAGATTAAGCCCCCAAGAGGTGGCACGGGCATGAATAGCCCGTGAGAATTAGATTTTTTGTTTAGTAAATGTACACTGTGTGCTGAGGTGGTATGTAATCATGAGGCTGCTATCGCAGGGGTTACGGGCTCACCATAGCCCGTGCTACATGGACACTTCGTCCTCAGTAGTTAAATCTGAAACAATAACAACATATCGGAGGGGAGGATACTGATATATATATATATATCAGTGTTCAACTATATTGGATATATAGTTGCTCTTTGATAGTCATGTTTGCACATTGTCCAGCGTCTTGAGAAACATGTTGTCTTGAAGGGAGCCGGTGGCTGAGCGGACAGAACACTGGACACGTGATCCTGTGGTCCCGGGTTCGATCCCGGGCGCCGGCGAGAAACAATGAGCAGAGTTTATTTCACTCTATGCCCCTGTTACCTAGCAGTAAATAGGTACTTGGGAGTTAGTCAGCTATCACGGGTTGCTTCCTGGGGGTGGAGGCTTGGTCGAGGACCGGGCCGCGTTGACACTAAAGCCCTGAAATCATCTCAAGATAACCTCAAGATAACCTGTATTTTGGGGGCTGAGGGTGCCCAAGTGGGCACGTGAAGGGCCAGACCACACCCGTCTGTGGTAATGGCTTGGCGCGTCTCCTGACAGTTGTCTTCCCTTCTCTCCCTGCTCGGCCGGTGTGAGGAAAGTTGCTCAGCAGCAAGTGTTGAGACCTTGTTGCTCGTGTAGCAGAGTGTCAACTATCAGTGGTAACACCTGTCACCAATGTGACCCATTGCTGGAGGCAAGATGCTAAGTGTTTACTCACACAAACACAACACTCACATACAAATTACAAATATTTATTCAGGTAAAGTACATACATACAAGGTGAAATACAAAAGTTGATGGAGTTATAGAGCTAGTACATACAATGCCTAAAGCCACTATTACGCAAAGCGTTTCGGACAGGAAAAACACTAAAACTAACACACACACACACAGGCACCGCTCCTGTGCCAGGTAAGTCCACTACGGGCTCACCATAGCCCGTGCTACTTGTCCCGCTCCTGTGCCAGGTAAGTTACGGGCTCACCATAGCCCGTGCTACTTGTCCCGCTCCTGTGCCAGGTAAGTTACGGGCTCACCATAGCCCGTGCTACTTGTCCCGCTCCTGTGCCAGGTAAGTTACGGGCTCACCATAGCCCGTGCTACTAGCAACTTGTTCCGAGTAGCTGAATCTACAACAACAAACTACTAAAACTAAATACATACACTCCTCCTTCCACACCAGCGGCAGATTACATTGATGACTGTAACTGACTTTGTGGCTGAAGAATGAGTGAACAGGTGGTTGACTCCCGTACTGGTGGCCAGGGGAAAGTGAGCATCAACCACATTCTGTAGGTTTTGTCAGACGTGATTGGTAGTTTCTCCGAGTAACCTCAACTCTCTCGACTTCCAGGGAGCGCCACGCGGCCCTCTTCTTTGACCAACTTGCTGCCTGGAAAGCCACTGGAAAAATACACGTGTTGGATGTTGCATGTTAAGAGAGTGTGTGAGTGTGCACGATAAACTCACATGTCTGGTGAGTTGAGGTTACCTGGTGAGGAGACTGCTGGGCTGTCACTGGTACCCGTCCACATACAGTCAAGACGGATGAGCTAAGTATCTTAACACTCATCTTGAGATGATTTCGGGGCTTTAGTGTCCCCGCGGCCCGGTCCTCGACCAGGCCTCCACCCCCAGGAAGCAGCCCGTGACAGCTGACTAACACCCAGGTACCTATTTACTGCTAGGTAACAGGGGCATAGGGTGAAAGAAACTCTACCCATTGTTTCTTGCCGGCGCCCGGGATCAAACCCGGGACCACAGGATCACAAGTCCAGTGTGCTGTCTGCTCGGCCGACCAGCTCCCTCATTCATCCAGTCCTTACCTAGACCAGCCTCTGGGTGACAGCTCTCGCAGGAAGGGTGACGGAGTCCGTAGCGTGTTGACTCTCACTCAGCAGGTGTGGCGTGTGACAGTTGTGTGTGTGTGAACGTGTAGGAGTGTAGTGAGAGCGAGCAGTGGGAGGAGTGAAGTAGTGGGTGCTAATTAAGACAGACTTGTGGCAGTAAAAGTGGTAATTGAGTGTGTGGGCGGGGAAAATGTTGAGGGAGGAGCCCCCACCGCACCAGCTGTTGTTGTCTTCAATACCAAGCAGCAAATCTCCAGTTGGATGATAAACATCACCGTCTCCCAAGTCTTTTATAAACCGGCACCAAACAATTGCCAAGGCATAAAAGTGGCAAGGGAAAATGCCAGGTCGTTCCAGGACAAGTTGAGATGTCGGCGTGACGAGAACCAACTCTCCTTGACTGTCCCTACAGCTGCTGGTTTTCTCTTTCAGCGCCTTAATGTGGCCATCCAGAGAGGAAATGCTCACTGCATCCATGGTTCCTGCCCGCCATCTCAGGAGCTGGAGGAGCTCTACAGCTTGTGACAAGTAGCCTTGTCACAGGTTGTGACTAGACACGTTAAATCATCCCTTGACTATCTCCCTCCCTCTCCGGGATATTTTATTATTATTATTATTATTTTTTACCACAGACGTGGCCGGACATTTACAATACTAACCAGCATATATACATTTTCTTCTGTCCTCCATGGACAGGGTGAGATGTGTTAAACATATAGTTCGGGGATTTATTGAACAATCAACCACAGAATTAGTGGTCGATTGTTCACGCCCTGTAGTACTTTTAGAATGCTAATCTAACCTACAGACATAAATACATAGCTACACAGTTACGTCTGCCCTACATAAAGTGGTCGATGTGTCTTTTACATAGTGTTATTAATGTGCATGTACAAAGGTGAAATGTAATTCTGATCAACTTCCACATATACTTTATGCACATACATATACATACGCACACATAAACATATATATATACATACATACATACATACACATATTCGCACACATACCTTCATGGCTCTCCTACTCTGAGAGGGTAAGATAGCTGATAGAGAAACTAACGTGTTATCAAGCACTTAACCACTGAAGGTGATTAAGATGCTTGTACAAGCTCAGGTTATATAGTTACATCATATACATTGAATAATTAGGGACACCCACCGCTTCTCCCCAGTTCTAGGCTCAAACGCTTTGGTCACATTATCAGCAGATCAGAACTGAAGGTGCATTCTTCCAGGGGTGTGGCAGTCTTCCAGGGGTGTGGCAGTCTTCCAGGAGTGTGGCAGTCTTCCAGGGATGTGGCAGTCTTCCAGGGGTGTGGCAGTCTTCCAGGGGTGTGGCAGTCTTCCAGGGGTGTGGCAGTCTTCCAGGGGTGTGGCGGTCTTCCAGGAGTGTGGCAGTCTTCCAGGAGTGTGGCGGTCTTCCAGGAGTGTGGCGGTCTTCCAGGAGTGTGGCAGTCTTCCAGGAGTGTGGCAGTCTTCCAGGAGTGTGGCAGTCTTCCAGGAGTGTGGCAGTCTTCCAGGAGTGTGGCAGTCTTCCAGGAGTGTGGCAGTCTTCCAGGAGTGTGGCAGTCTTCCAGGAGTGTGGCAGTCTTCCAGGAGTGTGGCAGTCTTCCAGGAGTGTGGCAGTCTTCCAGGAGTGTGGCAGTCTTCCAGGAGTGTGGCGGTCTTCCAGGAGTGTGGCAGTCTTCCAGGAGTGTGGCGGTCTTCCAGGAGTGTGGCAGTCTTCCAGGAGTGTGGCAGTCTTCCAGGGGTGTGGCAGTCTTCCAGGAGTGTGGCAGTCTTCCAGGGGTGTGGCAGCCTTCCAGGGGTGTGGCAGTCTTCCAGGGGTGTGGCAGTCTTCCAGGGGTGTGGCAGTCTTCCAGGGGTGTGGCGGTCTTCCAGGGTATCATTGCGCCTATCATTCTTCACGGTATATATAATGTTAAAACCTTCCCACTGCCTCCGAAGATACTGAAGAGTGCTTCAGCTGAGCGACACTAGACAAACATATTATTGTGCAACTGACTTTGGAAACTTAATTGTCCATCTTCCTTCGCAAGTGAAGACGAACATAACAAAGGGAATATATATATATATATATATATATATGATTATGCGTATGTCAATTCTGGTATAATGATCTGCCGTGACTCCTCATATTTCTACAAAACTACCCTCATATTTCTGCAACACTGCTCTCGTATTTCTCCAACACTACCCCTCATATCTTTGCAACGTTACCCTCATCTGGTATGCAAATATCTCATCTGGTGTTGGGTAGGTTTATGGGCGTCTCGTAGCGCGGAGTGGGGTCGGGGCGGCGGGGCTGGCGCGGAGGGCCGCCACATACCTGCGGGGGCTCAGGTAAGCGGCTTCCCGCCCCCTGACACACGCTGACTGACTCTCTTGAACCAGCGCGCAGATTACCCTCAAAATGTACACGATTTTTCTTGACGGTCTCTTGTCTGCTTGAGGAATTGTGTGTGTGTGTGTGTGTGTGTGTGTGTGTGTGTGTGTGTGTGTGTGTGTGTGTGTGTGTGTGTGTGTGTGCGCGTGTGTGTGTGTGTGTGTGTGTGCGTGTGTGCACTCACCTATTTGTGCCTGCAGGATCGAGGATTGACTCTTGGATCCCGCCTTTCTAGCCAGCGATTGTTTACAGCAATGACTCCGGTCCTATTTCTCTATCATATCTAGTTTTAACATTATGAATAGTATTTGCTTCCACAGCCTGCTCCTTAAGTGCATTCCTTTTTCCCACTACTCTCACGCTAAAAGAAAACTTCCTAACATCTCTGTGACTCATCTGAGTTTCAAGCTTCCATCCATGTCCCCTCGTTCTGTTACTATTCCGTGTGAACATTTCGTCTATGTCCACTTTGTCAATCCCTCTGAGTATCTTATACGTTCCTATCATGTCCCCCCTCTCCCTTCTTCTTTCTAGTGTCGTAAGGCACAGTTCCCTCAGGCGCTCCTCATACCCCATCCCTCGTAGCTCTGGGACGAGTCTCGTTGCAAACCTCTGAACCTTTTCCAGTTTCATTATATGCTTCTTCAGATGGGGACTCCATGATGAGGCGGAATACTCTAAGACTGGCCTCACGCAGGCAGTGTAAAGCGCCCTAAATGCCTCCTTACTTAGGTTTCTGAATGATGTTCTAACTTTTGCCAGTGTAGAGTACGCTGCTGTCGTTATCCTATTTATATGTGCCTCAGGAGATAAATTAGGTGTTACGTCCACGCCCAGGTCTCTTTCTCGAGTAGTCACAGGTAGGCAGTTCCCCTTCATTGTGTACTGTCCCTTTGGTCTCCTATCACCTAATCCCATTTCCGTAACGTTACATTCGCTCGTGTTGAACTCCAGTAGCCATTTCTCTGACCATCTCTGCAACCTTTTCAGGTTCTCTTGGAGGATTCTACAATCCTCATCTGTCACAACTCTTCTCATTAATTTTGCATCATCCGCGAACATTGACATATAGGTTTCCACTCCTGTAAACATGTCGTTAACGTAAATTAGAAAGAGGATTGGGCCCAGCACCGATCCTTGAGGTACTCCACTCGTTACTGTTCGCCAGTTCGACTTCTCGCCCCCCTTACCATTACTCTCTGGCTCCTTCCTGTTAGGTAGTTTCTCACCCATGTTAGGGCCTTTCTGCTTACTCCTGCCTGCCTCTCAAGTTTGTATAGCAGGCGGGAGTAAGCGGAGAGGCCCTAGCATGGGTGAGGAACTACCTAACAAGGACCCTGTATTCACCTAGTTGTGCTTGCGGGGGTTGAGCTCTGCTCTTTCGGCCCGCCTCTCAACTGTCACTCAATTAACTGTTACTAACTACTAACTAATTTTTTTCCACACCCACACACCCCCAGGAAGCAGCCTGTAACAGCTGTCTAACTCCCAGGTACCTATTTACTGCTAGGCAACAAGGGCATCAGGGTGAAAGAAACCCTGTCCATTGTTTCTCGCCGGCGCCGGGAATCGAACTCGGGCCACAGGATTACGTGCCCAGCGTGCTATCCACACAGCCACCGGCGCCCCCTGTAACAAGGGGTGTGTATATTTACTATTTAGATTTGTTTTGCTTTTACGATGACTATTTCATTGTAAATATTTCCTCATTTTTTACATTATTAAGTTCGAAAAGTTTTTTTCTGTGTCGTGGGATGTAGTGTGGTGAGTCTGGTTCTTTGTAACTTTGCTCTTCCTTCATGGCGCGTAGTTCTGGCACCCGCCTTCTTGCACACTTCTCCAGCTCTTGGCTTGAGAGTCCTCGCCAGCGATGCATACTTTACCACTGCTCTCACGTATGTTGTGCACAGTGTTCGGCCAGGCGAGTCGCCCGGCGAGCTTAGGGTGATGGATTGTAATTCACGATTGTCGGGAGGAGCGACTGAGAGTTTTGTAATTGTGTGGTCAATAATGTAGGGCTGTGGTCATCGTCCACCTTCTGTCTGCCAGCTGTGGCTGGGTGCTGGCTGGGTGCTGGCTGGGTGCTGGCTGGGTGCTGGCTGGGTGCTGGCTGGGTGCTGGCTGGGTGCTGGCTGGGTGCTGGCTGGGTGGTGGCTAGGTGGTGGCTGGGTGCTGGCTGGGTGCTGGCTGGGTGGTGGCTGAGTGGTGGCCGAGTGGTGGCCGAGTGGTGGCCGAGTGGTGGCTAGGTGGTGGCTGGGTGCTGGCTGGGTGCTGGCAGGGTGCTGGCTGGGTGGTGGCAGGGTGCTGGCTGGGTGCTGGCTGGGTGCTGGCTGGGTGCTGGCTGGGTGCTGGCTGGGTGCTGGCTAGGTGGTGGCAGGGTGCTGGCTGGGTGCTGGCTGGGTGGTGTCTGGGTGGTGTCTGGGTGGTGTCTGGGTGCTGGCTAGGGACGAGTATACAGAGACCTGAGGAGACGTGGATGGTGGTAGGGAAGGTTGTGTTCGTGTGTGGACGGGGAACATCCTCCCTCCCTCTCCCTCTCTCTCTCTCACCTGCCCTCCCTCCCTCCCCCCCCCACATCCTTCCCCCTCTCCATCAGGCCTCCTCCTCCTCCTCGTCCTATCCCCTCACTAACCGGCTCACTCCAACACAATTCTCGTGTCTTCAATACAAAGACAGGATAATGAATTGTAGATGACGTCACAGATGGTTTGTACCTGAGGCAGCTGGTGACTGGTCTTGAGCTGGAGCAAGGTGGGGGGGGGGGGTTATCTTGAGATGATTGATTTCTTGAGATGATTTCGGGACTTAGCGTCCCCACGGCCCGGTCCTCGACCAGGCCTCCTTTTTGTTACACATCCCCAGGAAACATCCCGTAGCGATGTTATTCTTCTCCCTTCAGGAGACAGGTTTGGCGTGATATCAACTCCCAGATCTTTCTCTCTGTCCGTTTCGTGAAGTGTAACATGGACGGGGTAATGTGTGTACTCCGTCCACTACCCAGCCCCTGTCTTAACTAAACTTGAGGACCCCAGAGCTCTACTATTAGCCTTCAGTCCACTCCTGGTGGTCTTAGACGGTTGATCATCTTACACACTACAAACACGAGAACTGTTCTGTGCCCTAGCAGGTCTGGAGACCTCAGCTGCCACCACCAAACCCACCGATATTGACGATTAATTAATTGTGGTTTGGATCAATCAATTAACCATTAAATCCTTGGGGTTGATCCCCAATTAATTGAAAAGGGAGCTATGCATTTACGTTAAGTGCTGAATTAAATCGAAAATCAAGGGAATATATCTCCGATATTAAATAGAATAGGCTTGCTTGAAATATATACCGAAACCCGGCTTGTGCATTCCGCGGCAAACACCATCATGTATACTTAGGTGAACTCCAAACATAGAGTTTTAACACTTAATAAACAAGTTTTATTAAATCAAGAATAATAATAATGGGGCAATTGAACCCAGCATATCCTACTCTGAACACTCCCTAAACTGAAAGCGTTATATGATAAAGAGTGCTGGGAAGACGGGACACCACGAGCGTAGCTCTCATTCTGTAACTACACTTAGGTAATTGCACACACACACACACACAGATTCTCAAGGTACTTAGGTACTCACCCCATTAGGTGAGTACACACATACACACACACATACACACACACACACACACACACACACACACACACACACACACACACACACACACGAGTGTTGAAGATATAAATGTATGAGAAGTAACCAAGCAGCAAAACAAGGTGTCAAGTAATGCGTCAAACATACTAGTGACACCTAAAAGTTGATATCAAGTTTTGCCTGTTTCTTATTTCCTGCGGCGCGGTGAGATCACCTTCCCTCTCTCTTCTCGGCTCCCTCCGCTCAGTTACTGCTCTCACGTATATCTTTGATCTTTTGACGTGTTTCCTGTGTATTGGGGGTTCCATGCCTGGGCTGCACACTCGAGAGGGAGAGACTCATAGCTTGTATATAGCTTTTGGAAGCCCTAAGTTCAAGTCCAAGTTGGTAAAGGTTATCCGGACGTGGGGCAGTTTGGCCCGTGATGGTTGTGTTGTTAATGTGTTCCTGGTGGTTAGGCTGTGTACTCACCTAGTTGGGCTTGCGGGGGTTGAGCTCTGGCTCTTTGGTCCCGCCTCTCAACTGTCAATCAACTGGTGTACAGAGCTGGTATGTGTTTATTATTTGTGTCTGCAGAATTGAGCTATTAGCTCTTGGACCCCGCCTTTCTAACCAATCTATTTTTCTCTGTTATATCTACTATATATATTTCTCTAACACACACATCCCAACAAACTGCCCGTAGCAGCTGTCTGACTCCCAGGTAAGTATTTACTGATAGGTAAAGGATACATGATCAACCAGGCTGTGATTCATACGTCAGGCTGCGAGCAGCCGCGTCCAAACCGTCTGGTTGACCAGTCCAGCAACGAGTAGGCCTGGTCGAGGACCGGGCCGCGGGGTCGCTAATTCCCGAAACCACCTCACGGTAACCTCATGGTGGGTGAACAGGTGCATCATGGTGAAAGAAACTGTGTCTTTTGTTTTGTTTCCGCCTCGGTCGGGAATCGAACCCGGGCCACAGGATTACGAGTCCAGCGCGCTGTCCACTCGGCTACCAGACCCCCAAACTGTGTGTGAGAGCTTGTGCTCATACCTGCCTAACATTTTGATGGTGATTTCAAAATGTGCCTCAGGTATTGTTTGTGTGGGTGAGGAGGCGGAGTGGGGAGCCGTGTGGGCGTCACTCCTCATTTGCTCCCTTATCCACTTTTTATGAATCTTTCAAAATAAAAATTTTTGGTCGCAGTTTGTGCTGTATCGGAGTTTTGTGTTTGCCTTAAAGCCTTGTCTATGTGCTCTCATATAACAGTGTTTACCTAACAGAGGAAAACCCTCCTTCAGCTCCTGGGCTCTGCCTCTCCAACCACCCGTCATCTCTAATGAATCTCTACCCCCCTTTTGTCTTTTGTCATTTGATTTTAAGACTTTAAAATTAGCCTTTTCACTTCCTATGTGCCCCTTTTGGGGGATAGAACTCCAATTGTCTTTTTCCCGGCCAGTCCAAGCCTCTTGTTGCGTCATGAAGTCCTCTTCTCTCGCGACCTTTCTCAGCAGTTTTGGATCATTTGTAAACACTGAGGTGAGCGAGCTAATGCCCCTCACCACGACTGTGGACACAACACTGAGGTGAGCGAGCTACTGCCCCTCACCACGACTGTGGACACAACACTGAGGTGAGCGAGCTACTGCCCCTTACCACTACTGTGGACACAACACTGACGTGAGCGAGCTACTGCCCCTCACCACGACTGTGGACACAACACTGACGTGAGCGAGCTACTGCCCCTCACCACTACTGTGGACACAACACTGACGTGAGCGAGCTACTGCCCCTCACCACGACTGTGGTCACACATGAGGGAGAGTCGTGGTGCGAGCAGCGAGCCTTGCGGGACCTCGCTCTTTGGTCTCCACCCTCACATAAGTCGAGCTGTGTATCTATGTATTTACGTATGTAGGTCAGCTTAGCATTTTAAAAGCACCGAATCACCTTCTGTGGTTGAGTGTTCAATAAACCCTTGAACTATATGTTTAACACATCTCTAACCCTGTCCATGGAGGACAGAAGAAAATGTATATATGCTAGTTAGCATTGTAAATGTCCGGCCACGTCTGTGGTAGAAAATAATAATATAAAAAAAAAAATTCGAGCCTGGCCTCGGGCCGGGTTTGGGGAGTAGAAGGACTCCCAGAACCCCATGAAGCAGGTTATCAAGCAGGTAACTGCCAGTGTTTCCTGTCTGAGATATTCTCTCACTTCTTGCCACACGTTCTCTCACCTCTCTCTCTGGTAACCTATATTATCTTCCATACATATTTATCTCTTCTACATTCTCTCGCGTCGCTGCTCTTTTATTATACTTTGTCTATTGCATTATTTTTTATCCATCTTTGTATCTCTCGCTTTCTTCCAGTACAATATTCCCGGGTTCGCTTTGTAAACTCTTGTAGCTTTTGAAGTTGGCTAATGTGTTGTGTAAGGTGGTGGTGGGGGGGGGAGGTGGCTCCACAGCGGGCTGCGGTCGTGTTGAACTGGTCTGACGTAGGTGGTGAACAGTATCGTGTATGTCTCTGTGGTGAGGTTCCTGGAGGCGCACACACTCCTCACAGAGGAGTGTGTGCTGTTGCTGCTGCTGCTGCTGCTGCTGCTGCTGCTGCTGCTGCTGCTGCTGCTGCTGCTGCTGCTGATATCGTGTTTCCCAGTGCCTCTGGAGGCGGGGGAGGTGTTAGGTCTACTTCCAAGGGCCAGATTCACGAAGCAGTTACGCAGGTACTTACGAACGTGTACACCTTTCCTCAATCTTTGACGGCTTTGTTTACATTTATTAAACAGTTTACAAGCATGAAAACTTGCCAATCAACTGTTGTTATTGTTATAAACAGCCTCCTGGTGCTTCGGAGCTCATTAACTGTTTAATAATTGTAAACAAAACCGCCAAAGATTGAGAAAAGATGTACAGGTTCGTAAGTGCTTGCATAACTGCTTCGTGAATCTGGCCCCAGGTCTGTTTGCCCCTCTGGTTGAGTTGGTTGTCCCTCTGTTGAGAGTGTATTCTATTGCTGAGTTCCAACCGGCTCACACACTCCACTACTGGTGTGTGTGTGGAGTGTGCCTCCACCACTGGTGTGTGTGGAGTGTGATCCTCCACCACTGGCCAGCCCTCACCACCCCAACACATGATAGCTCCCACACAAACAGTGATATGGTGGACCTAGAGGTGAGTGTGGGGCCCAGGTGTAGGGCGCCCAGGGGGGAGGACACTCACACACACACACACACACACACACACACACACACATACACACACACACACACACACACACACACACTCCTGAAGCTCCACACACTCTCAAAAGAGCCGACAAATTTAATTAGAGAGTTTTTACACTGTCTTTAATGACGATGTTGGTGTGTGTGTGTGTGTGTGTGTGTGTGTGTGTGTGTGTGTGTGTGTGTGTGTGTGTGTGTGTGTGTGTGTGTGTGTGTGTGTATGGAGGGTCCCGATGTTGTGGTGTGTGTGTGTGTGTGTGTGTGTGTGTGTGTGTTGTGGTGTGTGTGTGTGTGTGTGTGTGTGTGTGTGTGTGTGTGTATGGAGGGTCCCGGGTGTATGGGGTGGTCCCTGTGAAACACACATGCCCCGGAAATTGCACCATAAACACCTACAACACTGCCATACACCTGTGCATTAGCACCATGCACACCTGCAACAGCACAGCCACCACACCTGAGCAGGTGTGGCCACTTGTCGGAGGCTCCTCTTGCCTCTGCCATGCCCAACTATTGTATCTATAGTTACTATGGCGAGGCTATATCTAAAGCTACTATGAATAGGCTATAGGTATAAACCATTCATAGTAGCTATATATATAGTTACTATGGATGCCTCCAGACCGTTGACAGCCACGGACCTCCACACCGTTGACAGCCACGGACCTCCACACCGTTGACAGCCACGGGCCTCCAGACCGTTGACAGCCACGGACCTCCACACCGTTGACAGCCACGGACCTCCACACCGTTGACAGCCACGGACCTCCACACCGTTGACAGCCACGGACCTCCACACTGTCGACAGCCACGGACCTCCACACCGTTGACAGCCACGGACCTCCACACCGTTGACAGCCACGGACCTCCACACCGTTGACAGCCACGGAACTCCACACTGTCGACAGCCACGGACCTCCACACCGTTGACAGCCACGGACCTCCACACCGTTGACAGCCACGGACCTCCACACCGTTGACAGCCACGGACCTCCACACCGTTGACAGCCACGGACCTCCACACCGTTGACAGCCACGGACCTCCACACCGTTGACAGCCACGGACCTCCACACTGTCGACAGCCACGGACCTCCACACCGTTGACAGCCATGGACCTCCACACCGTTGACAGCCACGGACCTCCACACTGTCGACAGCCACGGACCTCCACACCGTTGACAGCCATGGACCTCCACACCGTTGACAACCACGGGCCTCCACAACGTTGACAGCCACGGACCTCCACACCGTTGACAGCCACGGACCTCCACACCGTTGACAGCCACGGACCTCCACACCGTTGACAGCCACGGACCTCCACACTGTCGACAGCCACGGACCTCCACACCGTTGACAGCCATGGACCTCCACACCGTTGACAACCACGGGCCTCCACAACGTTGACAGCCACGGACCTCCACACCGTTGACAGCCACGGACCTCCACACCGTTGACAGCCACGGACCTCCACACCGTTGACAGCCACGGACCTCCACACCGTCGACAGCCACGGACCTCCACACCGTCGACAGCCACGGACCTCCACACCGTTGACAGCCACGGACCTCCACACCGTTGACAGCCACGGACCTCCACACCGTTGACAGCCACGGACCTCCACACCGTTGACAGCCACGGACCTCCACACCGTTGACAGCCACGGACCTCCAGACACAATATCTGGATTTTCACGACGATAAGAATTTGGCTTTTCCAGCGGTGCTTTGAGCCGCGTGTCCACCGGTACTCTCCTCGGCGATGATGTCTGTGACATCACTCAACACCGTGACCTGTCCAGTTCACCTGGGGACACCTGTCCAGTTCACCTGGGGGACACCTGACCAGTTCACCTGGGGACACCTGTCTAGTTCACCTGGGGACACCTGTCCAGTTCACCTGGGCACACCTGTCCAGTTCACCTGGGGACACCTGTCCAGTTCACCTGGGGACACCTGACCAGTTCACCTGGGGACACCTGTCCAGTTCACCTGGGGGACACCTGTCCAGTTCACCTGGGGGACACCTGTCCAGTTCACCTGGGGGACACCTGTCCAGTTCACCTGGGGACACCTGTCCAGTTCACCTGGGGACACCTGTCCAGTTCACCTGGGGACACCTGTCCATTTCACCTGGGGACACCTGTCCAGTTCACCTGGGGGACACCTGTCCAGTTCACCTGGGGACACCTATCCAGTTCACCTGGGGACACCTGTCTAGTTCACCTGGGGGACACCTGTCCAGTTCACCTGGGGGACACCTGTCCAGTTCACCTGGGGGACACCTGTCTAGTTCACCTGGGGGACACCTGTCCAGTTCACCTGGGGGACACCTGTCCAGTTCACCTGGGGACACCTGTCCAGTTCACCTGGGGACACCTATCCAGTTCACCTGGGGACACCTGTCTAGTTCACCTGGGGGACACCTGTCCAGTTCACCTGGGGGACACCTGTCCAGTTCACCTGGGGGACACCTGTCCAGTTCACCTGGGGGACACCTGTCCAGTTCACCTGGGGGACACCTGTCCAGTTCACCTGGGGACACCTGTCCAGTTCACCTGGGGACACCTGTCCAGTTCACCTGGGGACACCTGTCCAGTTCACCTGGGGACACCTGTCCAGTTCACCTGGGGACACCTGTCCAGTTCACCTGGGGACACCTGTCCAGTTCACCTGGGGACACCTGTCCAGTTCACCTGGGGACACCTGTCCAGTTCACCTGGGGGACACCTGTCCAGTTCACCTGGGGGACACCTGTCCAGTTCACCTGGGGGACACCTGTCCAGTTCACCTGGGGGACACCTGTCCAGTTAACCTGGGGACACCTGTCCAGTTCACCTGGGGACACCTGGGGACACCTGGGCAGATGAGGCGCAACAAAGCAACGGACACAAAGACAGAATATATATTAAAATCTTAATCAAGGTTAAATACCACGTATAATTTTTGTGTTCTCGCGTAATCATATTTATGAAATATGTCGGGACGAGGCACGTCAAAGGCGCCATGTTGTCTGTGTCGCAGGTATAGGAATGTTGGAGCCCCAGGGGGGGGGGGGCAGGTGTGTTGACGCTCCCGGGGGGGGGTGGCAGGTGTGTTGGAGCCCCAGGGGGGGGTGGCAGGTGTGTTGACGCTCCCAGGGGGAATGGCAGGTGTGTTGACGCTCCCAGGGGGGGGGTGGCAGGTGTGTTGGAGCCCCAGGGGGGGTGGCAGGTGTGTTGACGCTCCCAGGGGGGGGTGGCAGGTGTGTTGGAGCCCCAGGGGGGGGGTGGCAGGTGTGTTGACGCTCCCCAGGGGGGGGGGTGGCAGGTGTGTTGGAGCCCCAGGGGGGGTGGCAGGTGTGTTGACGCTCCCAGGGGGGTGAGGGGCAGGTGTGTTGACGCTCCCAGGGGGGGTGAGGGGGCAGGTGTGTTGACGCTCCCAGGTGAGGGGGCAGGTGTGTTGACGCTCCCAGGGGGCGAGGGGCAGGTGTGTTGACGCTCCCAGGTGAGGGGGCAGGTGTGTTGACGCTCCCAGGGGGGCGAGGGGCAGGTGTGTTGACACTCCCAGGGGGGTGAGGGGCAGGTGTGTTGACGCTCCCAGGTGAGGGGGCAGGTGTGTTGACGCTCCCAGGGGGAGCGAGGGGCAGGTGTGTTGACGCTCCCAGGGGGGTGAGGGGCGGGTGTGTTGACTCTCCCAGGGGGGGGGGTGAGGGGCAGGTATAGAGACCTGCACATCTTTCCAAGGGTGAATATAGTGAACAGTTTTATCAGGGTTAAGAGACACATTCATTTTCAGAAGATTATAGGCACAACAACTGAGCCACACACTGTAGGGAGCTTTTTGCGGCGGATTGAGGGAACAGTCAGAATTGTTTAGAATGGATCTCAATTTAATTAGAATAGAGCTAAGGGGACCATTATTTTTCAAAGTTATGGCGCAAAACATAGTACTAAGTAGAACTTATCTTTCTTAAATGGAAGATAATTCGAGTTCCTTTCTCATTTAAACAGTTCTGACAGTTCTAGGACAACCCAGGATGATGCGAAAGAACTTTCTCGGCCAGAGTCGTAAACACGTGGAATTTACAAGATGAAGAAGTTGTCGATGCTAATTCAATACTGCATTCAGCTACTGATGGTCGGAGGCGAGGCTGAATGTCGCTGTTGCTGCTACATTTGTGTATATATAGATACGTTTTACGATGTATGTCAACACAAGTGTGCTTATATTTAGTGTAGGAGACGGGCTGGGGGTGGCGGAGGACACGTGGGGCTGGTGGAGGACACGTGGGGCTGGTGGAGGACACGTGGGGGTGGCGGAGGACACGTGGGGCTGGTGGAGGACACGTGGGGCTGGTGGAGGACACGTGGGGCTGGTGGAGGACACGTGGGGCTGGTGGAGGACACGTGGGGCTGGTGTGGAGGACACGTGGGGTGCTATGGAGGACACGTGGGGCTGGTGTGGAGGACACGTGGGGCTGGTGGAGGACACGTGGGGCTGGTGTGGAGGACACGTGGGGGTGATGGAATACACGTGGGGCTGGTGTGGAGGACACGTGGGGCTGGTGTGGAGGACACGTGGGGCTGGTGTGGAGGACACGTGGGGGTGGTGGAGGACACGTGGGGGTGGTGGAGGACACGTGGGGGTGGTGGAGGACACGTGGGGCTGGTGGAGGACACGTGGGGGTGGTGGAGGACACGTGGGGGTGGTGGAGGACACGTGGGGCTGGTGGAGGACACGTGGGGCTGGTGGAGGACACGTGGGGCTGGTGGAGGACACGTGGGGGTGGTGGAGGACACGTGGGGCTGGTGGAGGACACGTGGGGCTGGTGGAGGACACGTGGGGCTGGTGGAGGACACGTGGGGGTGGTGGAGGACACGTGGGGCTGGTGGAGGACACGTGGGGCTGGTGGAGGACACGTGGGGGTGGTGGAGGACACGTGGGGGTGGTGGAGGACACGTGGGGGTGGTGGAGGACACGTGGGGGTGGTGGAGGACACGTGGGGCTGGTGGAGGACACGTGGGGGTGGTGGAGGACACGTGGGGGTGGTGGAGGACACGTGGGGGTGGTGGAGGACACGTGGGGCTGGTGGAGGACACGTGGGGCTGGTGGAGGACACGTGGGGCTGGTGGAGGACACGTGGGGCTGGTGGAGGACACGTGGGGCTGGTGGAGGACACGTGGGGCTGGTGGAGGACACGTGGGGGTGGTGGAGGACACGTGGGGCTGGTGGAGGACACGTGGGGCTGGTGGAGGACACGTGCACCATACTACCCCGTAAGGGGTTACATATCAAGCCGTATATAATGTCAGAGAGTGTTGATAAAGGTCACGTTAAGGGCTGACTTAGACCACCATAATGCTCGTCTACCAGCTGCTTCTACAGCTCTACTCCATGTACTCACCTAAAGGGGTTTGAAAAGTCGAGCGCTAGTCCCTGAGCCCCGCCTTTACCAGCTCTCTCTTGTGACTCCAGACTCTCCTGTTTCTGCCATATCTATTTTTGTACAACAAAACATTTATTTTGCGTCTAAAATCTCTGTGGTCCATTCCATCTGCTCAATCTCCTGACTCTATAACTGTTTGTTCTGTCATTCCTATAGCTCTATATACGCCTCTAGCTTCCTCTCCATGCTCTATTGCTCTGCCTTATACTCAACACGTCCTCTTTATCACCCCTAGTGATTCTCCTGAGAATCTTGTGTGTCGTTGTCATGTCTTCTATTCTAGCATGATGAGGTTCATCTCTCTCAGCCTCTCCTCATAGTTCAGTTCTCACAGTTCGTGGCCATGATTCACGAAAGCACTTACGCAAGCACTTACGAACGTGTACATTTTTCCTCAATCTTTGACGGCTTTGGTTACATTTATTAAACAGTTTACAAGCATGAAAACTTCCCATTCATCTGTTGTTATTGTTATAAACAGCCTCCTGGTGCTTCGGAGCTCATTAACTGTTTAATAATTGTAAACAAAGCCGCCAAAGATTGAGAAAAGATGGACACGTTCGTAAGTGTTTGCGTAAGTGCTTTCGTGAATTTGGCCCCTGGTACCAGCCTCGTTATATTCCTCTGGACTCACTGTTATATGATCGTTCTTCATATCCCCACTGAGCAATGGACTTCTACGCAGCTCCATTGGCGCAGTGGTAAAGCACTCGCCCGGAGCTTCGAGAGCTTTGGCCTTGGTTCATATCCTGGCCGGGGAGGATTGACTGGGCGCTAGTCCTTAACTGTAGCCTCTGCTCACCCAGCTGTGAATGGGTACCTGGTTGTTGAAAGGTTTGGCGGGTCGTATTCCGGGGTAAATTAGTATTAAGGCCCTGCACGAAATGTTGAGTGTGCTGGTGGCTGCACGCAACCCGTTCTCGCACTTTCTTTAAGTCAATGTTGACTTATTAAATAAGTGCATATGTGGCATACTAATTTATTGTGAATATTTTAGTTTACCTTGAAAAGCTTCATAGAAAACACCAACCTTACCTAACCTTCTTAGTATGTTAAGATAAGCATCTTATTGCTTCGTAATTACAATTATTACTTAACCTATTATAGGTATAGTATGTCACATATGCACTTATTTAATAAGTCAATATTAACTTAAAGTGCGAGAACGGGTTGCTGCACGAGACCTCTTGTGTACGTACCTAGTTGCTTGCGGGGGTTGAGCTCTGGCTCTTTGGTCCCGCCTCTCAACTGTCAATCAACTGATGCACAGGTTCCTGAGCCTACTGGGCTCTATCATATCTACACTTGAAACTATGTAAGGAGTCAGCCTCCACCACATCACTGCCTAAG